GAAGAGATGGTTTATACAGATTGTTTTCTCAAGTCACAGCTTCAATACTTGTGAGAGAGGAGACTCAAGTGCGAGAGAAAAAATGAGGGTTTGTATAGGGTGTCTTTTCGGGTCACAATTTTAGTATTTGTGTGTGTGTGAAAGTAAGTGATTAAGGTAAGAGTGCCTCTTAGCTTCTGACGACATTTTAATAAAGAGAAATAATTAGTGATAAAATATTTTTGTCTCAAACTCATATGTTCATTGCCTAATCAACAAAAATACAAAAACAACGTTGTGTGAGGATGGAGAATTTATTGGTGATGAAATATTTTTGTGTCCTTCAACTTAACCTTGTGAGACAAAAATATATTCGTCGCGCAATCAATCAAAATGCAACACAACACATGGAGAATTTATTAGTGACGAAATATTTTTGTCTCCCATAACTTATCCTTCCCAGCCAAAAAATATATTTGTCACCAAATAAATAAGAAAATGAAACGACATCGTCTTATAAGTTTGGAATTTATTGGTGACGAATTCCTTTTGTCGCAAAAAACTTTAAAATTTGTGACAAAAATGTTCGTCTTCAATGAGCTAAAATAATTGGCGCCAACAAGAAAAAAAATTGGCGCCTCTTTTTTTTCTAACGAATTTATTTTTTCGTCTCCTATAGTTTTGAGAAGAATTAAAAGAAATGACAAAAGTAATATTTGGTCATGTTTGGGATACGTTCTAAAACGAAAATAAATTTTATCACAAAATTTTATAAATTAATTATTAAAAACTCCATACTAAACAAGGTAATATTTTCTATTAATTTTGAAAATTACAAATTTTTTATTATTTGTTTCTCTCTATTTTTTCTCACCAAAAAAAAATAGTTACATTAATTATCTTATTTTTTTATTTTAATTTATTTATGTTTTTGTGGAGAGAGGTTTTGACCTTCGATTTTTCTGAAGAGAGGGGCTTTAGCGCGAAATAGAAGAAATGGTTTATAGAGTCTCTTCTTAAGTCACAACTTCAATACTTGTGAGAGAGGAGTAGACTCAAGTGCGAGAGAGAAATGAGGGTTTGTAGAAAGTGTCTTCTTGGGTCACGACTTCAAGGTCCGTGTACATGAAAATGAGTGATAAGTGTCAGTGTGTATCTCTTGGGGTCACAGTTTCAATGCTTCGAAACACAAAACCACAGCATTTTAATAAAGAAAAATGATTAGTTATAAAATATTTTTGTATTTTTAAATACCAGAACAAAGAATTTATTATTGGTGATAAAATATTTTTGTTTTCCACAACTTAACCTTATGAGACGAAAAATATATTCGTCACGCAATCAATTAGAATTTATTACTGACGAAATATTTTCGTCTCCCACAACTTATTCTTCAGAGACAAAAATATATTTGTCGCCTATTTAATAGAAAGATGAAATGACATTGTCTGCATGATGGAGTGTTTATAGATGACGAAATATTTTCGTCTTCCATAACTTATCCTTCTCAGACAGAAATATATTTGTCGCCTAATAAATGGAAATATGCAACGACATCGTTTAATAGGTATGGAATTTATTGGCGACGAATTACGTTCGTCACAAAAAAAAAAATATTTTGTGACAAAAATGTTCGTCTCCAATGAGCTAAAATAATTCGCGCCAATGCAGATGAAATTTGCGCCTCATTTTTGCAGACGAAATTTTGTTTTCGTCTCCTATACTTTTGAGAAAAATTAAAACAAACGACAAAATTAATATTTCGCCATCTTTGGGTTAAATTTTAAGACAAAAAAAAAATTCGTCACTAATTTTGTCACAATAGCCTAGGCTTCTTGTAGTGATTTGTCATAAAAAAAAAAAAACCAAATGATCTAAATCACTGAATAAACTTCCATTGCTAGCAAAAACTAAAGAAACTAAAAATACCCACAAAAGAATAAACATAGAAATACAAAATTTTGAGTCCTTGAGAAACTTTGAGTCCATAGAAGACCGAAGTAGGAAAGCCAAAGAATAAACAAAGACAATAATACTGATAATAATTGCATTGGAGAATTCTACCATACACACCTTAGTTATGCCATTTTCTTATTTAGTTATAAAAAAATTTCTTCTTTAGTTGTGAGATTATTTTAGTTAGGACTCATAAGATCTTTGGTTAAGCCTCATGTAATGTTCGGTCATATTTTTTTTTTTTAAAATATAAAGTTATACCATTTTCTTCTTTAATTATAAGGTTCATATGGTAGAAACCTTTTGAGAGGTGTGTACATAGTCTTTCCCGCTAGAAAGATTTAATAAATTATGGGAATGATGCCTATTGTATTAGCTTCTACTGGAAATATATATTAAACTGTAAGAAAGTGATACTATATACACCTTTCAAAGGTGTGTATGGTTTGTACCTAAAATTTTAACCACAAAGATTCATGACTATAACCAATTTGAATCATAATAAAAAAATCCATAACCAAGATCACTTTCAATTCATAGCAAAACACCACAAACCCTCACATAAGGCAACTTGGATTCATAACCAAATATTAAAAAAAGGTATCATAACGAAAACTAATTTAAGTCCTAATAAAAATCTCATAACCAACTTTATTATAAATTTGACTGGCACAAAGCTCATAACTAAGTACCAACATGATTTATAACTAAAACCACAAATTTTCATAATTGAGGGATATGGTACATACTTTTGAAGGGATATGTATCATAAAATTCATAACCTGTATATGAGAGATTTAGATAGAAAATGGGCAGCGTCGTGGCTCCCACCAATCCCTCTATAGTTCCGCTACTGACCATAGAGTGAATGAGTCCAACATAATCTCTTTGGCAATCAGAACAATCTAACTGATACTCGAGTTAATGTATAATAGAGGTCAAAACAGGGCTCTAACATAAAGCACTTTCAAAAGTAATAATCAAGCTGATGCTCTCTAGCCTCTAGAACTGCAGGCAAGGGAAGTAAACTGTGGAATGAACTATACACATCAATTGTATTTCGGCCTTAATTGATCAATGAAGAATTTATTTCTAATGCAAGCTTAAAACAGAATCTATAAATTAAAAGATAATAGTAGTAGCATCACATAGCAAGAAACTAACTAAAACTTTTAAGAAAATAGAAATTTAGAAGAGTTTATTGAGGGACTTATCTGCTGAAACATGTAGGACATTGATCAAACAAGTGATAGGCTTTCAATGAATGGATACATATTACCAAGATGCTTCCCAATTTTCAAGATCCTCTGCGTGAAGAACCTTGAAGCTCCTTCAACGTCTTGGAGTTGAGATCATAAGAAATAACTTTGCCAGGAACAACTAAAACCAGAGTAAAATCTTTTTCATTTGCTCCCTAGTAATAATAGAGCATGTAAAATTTACAGAATCTAATAATGGTTGTGTTTACCACGTCAGGGAATAAAGATAAAATGGGACTAAAATTGACCCGGTATTTCGCAATCCAACTGCTGTAATCCCTGTCCATCTGAAGGATTCTAAATCTCAAAGCAGAAATCTGATAAATCTGAATAAGAAACAAATGCCTATCACATTTTCCAAATACCTATCTTATCACAGGAAAGAATTTTAGGGTTTGGATGCATTGGAGTTTGACACACAGAGGAGAGGTGGTCGGTGGTCAGCGGCGTCGCGATGGTCGGTGGTCGTCGCATGGAATGGGCTCCGATGCAGGTAGAGAAAGAGAGAAAGAGAGAGAGAGAGTTCAAAATTGAAATCAGAAAAAGAGGAGATGAGTACATATGATGGAGATGAGAGAGAGTTCAAAATTGAAATCAGAGAGAGAGATTTTCTAACCATTAGATCTTGATGGTAATTCATCTCAACCGTTGATGCTCAAAGAGCATTTGGGCGGGAAATAAAGACATCTCAACCATTGAAGTTGAGACGAGACAATTTAAACCATTTGATCAAAATGTATCTCTGAGATAAATTAGATATTTTCAAATACCCTTCTCCCTTATTATATAGATTTATATAATTTTTTAACACACATTTTTTCGTACAAACTGAAAAAATTAATCCAAACATTTATCTTTTTTTTTCTTAACTTTTTAATTTAAAAAAATAAAAAGTGCACTTAGGACACCCAAACTACTGCTAAAACTATCAAATAAAACTTAAATAATTAATTGTGCGGTTCGTTTGACTCGATTATCATCAGTGCTTAAAATGTATATGAATAAAAAATTCATGATATATTTAATAAAAAATTCATGATATATTTCTGGGAACTCTTCCTCCTGGACTTTTCCAAATATGTTTCCTTTACGAGATCAAATACGTATGAAACATATGAAAGATCAAATACATATGAAACATATGAAATATACGGTCGAAAAAGCCGTGTTATTCTGTAGCAATGCTAGGCGCCAAATATGACTAACTTGAAACCTACAAGGATTAGGAAAAACCCATTAGCCGAGACAAGCGTTGCAGTCAATTCCGAAGAATTTTCGTTTTCTAAAGAGAGAGAGAGAGAGAGACAGACATACGGACATAGGACTCCCAATTTTCACAGTTTGGTTCTGAAATCGGTCACTTTTCCGGCGAGTTTTTCAGTATTTTCAGGCGTTTAAAGGCCGCACACGGTGGTGCTTTGCGGCGGCAAGATTTCCCCCCTTTTTTCCGGTGGTTTTGCCCCAAATCGTGGTACGTTTTTTTTGTGATTGTGTTTCGAAATATTTTAATTACGCATAGGGTAATTTGAAGTTCTGGGTTGACTGATTGAAAATTTGAAACTTGTTAAACGACAAACTTAATTTCATTATAATTCCGTGTTTTTGCTAGTTGGATTTGGGACTTGTAAACCCATAGCATAGGGTAATTTGAAGATTTGGGTTGATTGAAAATTTGATACTTGTTAAACAAGAAACATAATTTCATTCCAAGTCTGTGTTTTTGCTAGTTTGATTTGGGACTTGTATTATATCTATCTGATTACACACACTGCCCATACACAAATTTTTCCAATTGATTAGAATAAAATGCAGGAGATTGAGTTGAAAAAATGGGTCTCCGACAAATTGATGTTGCTATTGGGATACTCTAAGCCTGAAATTGTTTTGTATGTTCTTGGTTTGTCCGAACAAGCATTGTCCCCGGCTGAATTGGCCCAACAGCTAGAGGATGTTGGGTTATCAGCGTCAAGCGAAACATGCTCGTTCGCTGAAGAAATTTTCAAGAAGGTTCCACGTGATAAAGCTTCTTCCGGCTTGAATCTTTATCAGATACAGGAAAGGGAGGCAATGATTCTTGCTAGGAAGCAAAGGACACACACAATTCTGGAGGCCAACATTGATGCCGATGATAGTGTTGGTGATGCTGGCAACAGAAAGTGTTTCAGAAAGAGGAAAATTGAAGAACAAGAAGGTGATGAAAAAGGAAAACAAGTTAAGAGACAGATTGAAGAGAGATTGGGTGACCAAAGAGAGAGCAATAATGTCAAGACACTGAGAAGAATTTCGAGGCAAGAGTACTTGAAGAAGAGAGAGCAAAAGAAGCTGGAGGAGATGGGATATGATATACAGGACGAGGAGTACCTGTTTGAGGGTGTAAAGCTGAGTGAAGCAGAGAATCAAGAGATGAGGTACAAGAAACAAGTTTATGAGCTTGCCAAGAAGAGGTCTAGAGAATCTGATAATGATATGGGCGAGTACAGAATGCCCGAAGCTTATGATGGAGAAGGGGGTGTAAATCAGAAGAGAAGATTTGCTATTGCAAAGCAAAATTACAGGGATGCAAGTGCCGGAGATGAGAAGAAGCCATTCGCAGAACAATCAGCTTGGGTAGAGCAGCAGATCAAAAGGGCTACTCTCAATTTAAAAAAACATAAAAACCCAACAAGTGATGAATATGAGTTTGTGTTCGAGGACGATGTTAATCACTTCATCAATGCTACGACTATGGATTGCGATGAATTCAAAGTTGAATCACCTATTGAGCCAACTTTGGTTGATGAGAGAGAAGCTCTGCCAATCTATACGTTTCGAGATCAATTGCTCAAAGCTGTTTGTGATCATCAGGTCCTTGTTATTACAGGAGAGACAGGCTCTGGAAAGACTACTCAGATACCTCAATATCTTCACGAGGCAGGCTACACAAAACGTGGGAAGATTGGATGTACTCAGCCACGTCGAGTTGCTGCTATGAGTGTTGCTGCCAGAGTTGCACAAGAAATGGGTGTCAAACTTGGGCACGAGGTGGGTTACTCTATTCGCTTTGAAAACTGCACATCAGAGAAGACCGTTTTGAAATACATGACTGATGGAATGTTGTTGAGGGAACTTCTTGGTGAACCAGACCTTGCAAGCTACAGTGTGTTGATGGTAGATGAAGCTCATGAAAGAACTATATCAACTGATATTTTGTTTGGTTTAGTTAAGGATATTGTTAGGTTTCGTCCTGATCTCAAATTGCTCATATCAAGTGCCACTCTTGACGCAAAAAAGTTCAGTGATTTTTTCGATTCTGCCCCAATTTTCGAAATACCCGGAAGGCAATATCCTGTTGAAATATCCTACACAAAAGCGCCAGAGGCTAACTACTTGGATGCGGCGATTGTCACTGTTCTTCAAATCCATGTGACTCAACCAGATGGTGACATATTGGTCTTCCTCACCGGGCAAGAGGAAATTGAGACAGCTGAGGAAATGCTTAATCAGAGAATGAAGGGTCTGGCATCAAAGATAGCACAACTTGTAATTTTTCAAATCTATGGAAACCTTCCAACTGAGCACCAGGCAAAAATATTTGAACCTGCCCCTAAAGGAGCACGAAAAGTTGTCCTTGCCACAAATATAGCAGAAACCTCTTTGACAATTGATGGGATAAAGTATGTCATTGATCCAGGATTTTGCAAGATGAAGACTTGTAACCCGCGGACTGAGATGGAGTCGTTATTAGTCACTCCCATATCAAAAGCGTCAGCAATGCAAAGGGCTGGTCGAGCTGGGCGAACAGGTCCTGGAAAGTGTTTCCGCTTGTACACAGCATATGACTATCACAATGATATGGAAGACAATACTGCACCGGAGATACAGCGTACCAACCTTGCAAATGTTGTGCTGACTCTTAAGACCCTCGGTATCAGTAACTTGATGAATTTTGAGCTTATGGATCCCCCACCAGTCGAAGCTTTACTGAAAGCTCTGGAATTACTTTATGCGCTGAGTGCTCTGAATAAATCAGGTGAGTTGACAAAAATTGGTAGAAAAATGGCAGAATTTCCTCTTGATCCGAAATTATCTAGAATGATTGTTGCATCTGATAGGTACAAGTGCTCGGGTGAGATCATAACGATTGCTGCCATGCTTTCTGTTGGGTATGATATTTTTTATTGTCCTAAGAACAAAAAACTCCTTGCAGACAGTGCAAAGATGAATTTTCATAGAGGGCATGTCGGAGATCATATTGCACTGTTAAATGTTTATACTTCTTGGAAGGAAACTAACTTTTCGACTCAATGGTGTTATGATAATTTTGTCCAGGTTAGGAGTATGAAACGGGCCAGAGATATAAGAGACCAGTTGGAGGGGCTATTGGAGAGGGTGGAAATTGAACTGACTCCCAACACAAGTGATATAGAAGCTATAAAGAAGGCTATAACATCTGGTTTTTTCACCCATTCTTCAAGGCTGCTGAAAAATGGATCTTATCAAACCGTCAAACATCCTCAGACAGTTTATATTCACCCTACCTCAGGTTTATCACATGAGCATCCAAAATGGGTTATTTACAATGAGTTGGTTCTGACGACCAAGGAGTATATGCGGCAAGTTACCGAGATAAAATCTGAATGGCTGCTTGAAATAGCTCCTCATTATTATCAGTTGAAGGATGTTGAAGACAGTGGATCAAAGTTATTGGGACACAAAGAAGGGCATTAATTGAGAGGAGAAGATTGTAAGTACAGTCATATAAACAAAATTTAAAAATTGTGGGTGATAATTTTTCCGCAACATTATGATCTTTATTCATTTTCTCATGTATGCACAATATATTGATTGTTGAAAATGTAATCCCAATTTACTGATATGGATTTGTAGATTTGGTAGCTTGTGATGCAAGTTCTGAGATGTTGTAAGGTGTGACATTGGCTCTTTGAATTTCCAAAACGAAGAGAGATTATGCAAAGGTATATACATTGCTATAGCCAAAACAAGGAAATTAATATCTCTCCAGTCTAAACAAATCTTCTGCTGAAGGGTATTATTCCCTTCTGCAATATGTGATTTTTTTAATGGGAATCCAACTTTCTTCTTTTTACATTGTCTATTTAGCAATTTATTCTAGTTCAATTAGTGAAGTTGGTTGATCCAATTTTACAAATAGATTTTGCAGCTTTAGTGTTGCTGTTGCTCCACTAGGATGCTATTGTCCATTGAATTCTAAGTCTATCTCCAATTTGCAACAGATAAGCTCATTTTACTCTCTCTCTCTCTCTCTCTCTCTCTCTCTCTGTTTAGTTTATTTCTGATGTAAAAATATTGTCAATATCTTATACTATTATCTAATGACTAGTCTGACATTGTAGCAATTGTGTTGTTTTGGTGAGTGATATCAACCCACAACTTAAAGTTGCAAAAATCAACAAGTCCAAGCAGTTGTCTTCTTCATATGCTTAAATATAGAGACAGATTTTGGTAAAACATACATGAAATTGATGTTTCCAGAAATGGAAGTTTATAGGGGTCTGTTAATACATGCTGTGTTAGTGAGGATGGAAACAATCAGACGTATTCTTTGACCATGGCTGTCCCTTGAGACTTATAAATGAAATTGGGATGTGGTTCACTTTCTTATATGATAGACAGAAGGTAAAGTTAAAAATGTCAAAAGTGCATAGTTTTATATATTGTACTGTTAATTACTTGGAATTCGTTACTGTATACTTACTAATCTGATTTCATATGGGGACTGGTTGAGACATTCGATCTTTTGATGCTAGGTGTCGAACATACGTTTTGTGTTAGGCATTTATATGCCAATTTCAATATCAGATTCTAGGTTATGGAATTAAAAGACTTAATTTAGCATGTATTTAAGCAAAACATAGATAAAATTAAGAAAATTAACGCTGATGCACATTATTGGCTCATGCATATCCCACCTGAATGATTGACCAAGTCTAAGTTCTCATGTAGATCCAAATGTGATTTATGCTTGTCATTATGTACATAGGTAAGGCTTTGGACATGCCTTTGTTGATTATTTTTGAAATGATAAAGAGACAAATTGGAATGGATGGCAGGGGATATGGTCCTAGTTGTGGTTATGGCAATTGGAATGGATTGGGCATGTGCACACCTACTTGTTGGATAGCTTGATGTTGATGTACATTGTTGGGCCTAACCTTTTGGAACAATTGGTGACTTAACAACGTGTCAGAGCCCAGTTTTTTTTTTTTTTTTTAAACTGAAAGTGTCAGAGCTCAGGTTGAGAAGAGGTATTGCATTCAACTTTCCTGTTGGCATTTGGTTTTCAGTCCGTGTTTAGTTTCTTCTTCTTTGTTTTGTTGTTTGTTTATTGTAGAAAAGAGATTCAATGGGTGAATGGTGTATCCATTGATGTTCCCATCTGTGATCAAGTCCAAAATTTCTAGTTTAACAATTATTGTGCCATTATTTTCTTATTTTTCATAGTGCTTACTTAAATGTAAATATTAATTGTTTGGCATGTAATAAACACTATAAAGAATTCATTGAGATAGTATTAAGTTTTGTTTTTTGGATGTATGTGGTTAAGAATTGTTCTACCAAATCACTTTGATTTTGATACTTACATTGCTTTTACTTTCATTCCTCATAATTAATTTTTTTCTTCTCACAAGGTTGATTAAAAAATATTGTTTATTTGTTGTTTTGGATTATATGAATTGATTTAATTTACTTTAGTGAGTTTATATCTTGATGGTTAAAGTTCTTCAAAATAGTTTGCTTGAGGCATGAGGTCCACATCTTGAGTGAATTCTTTTTTTTGGGTACAACAGAAGGGGAAAATAGATATGTAGATAGGTTACTCCACATACCCACCGGGGAGTGTTGTCCCTTAGCACACACAGCGTATCTACAGGGAATCCCACTGCACCTACGTCGGGCCCGAAGCTAAAGCTAAGGCCCCCGCTTGCTATGGGCACTAAAAAGTATGTTTAATCCCAATAAGGTGTTATGGAGATTTGAACCCAGACTTTGAGCGAGAAATCCGAACATCTTACCACTGAATCAATCCCTGTGGTATCTTGAGTGGATTCGGTGGACATGAAATGTTGTTAAATTAGGAATATACTCCATTTTAGTTGGGTAAGATTGTGTTTGGAAGTGCCTTCAGGCACGAATCATTTTCATATATATTTTAAAGTTAAATTTTATTTTTTATGCAGTATCATACTATAGACATAACGCACCGATGTAAATGAACAGTAAATTTTTCGTCCTCTATAAAAGGTCTGTTCTGCCCTTATGTTTGCTTTATTGCTTCATTATTATGAGTGGGTCCTTTTGACTTAGTTTGAGGGTGTTTGTGTAAAATCAAGTTTTGTTAGGTGTGGATGATATTGTTCCACGTTGCACACTTTTCTCTCTCCCCTCTGCCCATTCGTTTCTTACTTGTCTTCCTCTTTCATCTTTTTAATGTCCCTCTACTCTCCCCCATGGTCTGCCGACTCACCCTAACAGGGTTCATAGATCCACAAGTTTTTTGCAGTTTCGATATGCAAAATTTTGCTTCAAAGATACCCATTAATGCTGTAGATTTGTGTAGTCTTGGTGTTATGTGTATGGATTCATTTGTTTTCTCTATTCTTTCACTTTTCTTATTTTCTTATTTTCTCTCATCTAATAAATTATTTTTGTTTTTTATTTAATAGAGGTTTTACTGTATACTTTGTTCTGTATTATGATCCTAATTTGCTTATTCTTTTTTGTTTTGTATTGTTTGGGTTTTTATACATGTTGACATCAATCTGTAGAAGTGAAAATAGAGTGCAAACTGCTGCTTGTTGGTTATTTCTGCTTCATTCAACTTTTTGATTTTTTAATCTGATTTCCCATTACAAATTTTTTTATTTTTTTATTTGGCTTTTAATTGCTTGTATGCTTTGTTCTGATCTTTATTTTATTTTAATTTTTTTTGTTTGGGTTTTTATCCGTCTGCACCGACATCGATTTGAAGAGATGACTTTTGTTTTTTGTGTTTTCCATATATAATTATTGTTGGGTTTTCTTCTTCTTCTCTGTTTTTTTATTGCGTTTTTCTCACGGTGTTTCCTCTTTCTTTTTTTATTTTTATTTTTTCCTCTTCTTTGATTTTTTTCTCTTTATTTTATTTTATTGTGTTTCCTCTTCTTTGTTAATTTCAACTTTGGATTTGTTTTCTTCTTTTCTCTGCTCTCTGTTTCGAAATAATGTATAATTTCCAAATTTTTTTGTAACCTATTTTTTGTTTCGGTATTTGTCTTCCTTTCTTTTTCTTCTTTTGTTCAGCATTGTCACATCCACATGTAGCTATTTCTTGAGAAGTTTTGCAAAATAGAATGCCTGGTGCAGGGTTGTTGCTGTCACCTGTTACTTATTTTTGCCTCTTTTTCGTCTAAGCAATTATTTATTTATTTATTTATTTTTTGGGATAAATAAAACTAACCAATTTGCTAATTCTATCTTTGTATATTGATCATCTTTTTATTTTGTATTTAGATTATATTATTGTTGCATATCTGTTTCTATTTTGACTTTTAATCCGGTAAATTCTTGTAGTTGTTTATTATATCTTGTTCGTAATAGATAATTTTAAATGAAGAACTTACGTTTTTTGGTTCTATTTTACTGCATATTTTGTTACAAAAATTAATTTTTATTTTTGTTGATTAGATCGTAGTGCACAAAATAGAAAAGGGTGTTTGGTTTGGTTGAGCTGATTACATGTTTCTTCTTTGTTGGTTTTAAGTTAACAAATATTTTGATTGAGAGAAACATTTTAGCTGGTACTAATAATGCTTCGTGCCCATTTTGTCAAAGTGAGATTGAATGAGCTTCACATGTTCTATTGCGTTGGATTGCATGCATGCTTCGAATGTTTGGAGTCAATGCTTAATGTGGTGGGGTAGTCAATGGGTATGTCTTCCTTCCTTGGGCATTTTTTTTTATGCTGATTTTCCAATCCTTATTGAGACTAGGAAAAAGAATTTGGAAAACTATAATTTATGCAGTGTTGTGGTCAATTGTTCCTATTAATTAAAATTCAAACTACTTTTAGGATTAAAGAATTTGCCAAATTTTTTTTTTGTTATTCTGTGAATGATTTTGTTATGGGTTGATGGTATTCAGAGGTTTGTTGAATTACTCTATCTTGTCAAGGCCTTTGATTTTGCTTTTTAAAATCATAATTAGACTTATTAGTTAGATTCGTAGAATCCCCAATGTGATGTTGATTCTCTTATGCAAGAGGTTGCCCTTGCATAAATTGTGAAAAATTCATGGTGTTGATTTCTCCACCGAATTGGGGTGTTGCTTTTGTCAAGAATTGATAGCTGCCCTTGCTTTGTAGGATTTTATGAGGTGTTTCTTTTGTTTAGAACTGTGGTGTTAATTTCTCCACCAAATTATGGTGTTGTCAAGAATTTGAGGTTCTGTCCTTTTAGTTCTATTTCTTTTTGCCATTTTTGATATCTATCAGGATTGATTGATTTTGTCTTTATGAATTCTTCCATCTTTAAAAAGAATTTGTAACTACGTGCGGCCATGCTTCCAATCTTGGAATACCTTAATGGCTATTGGAATCAAGTTCCCTCCAAGTTTTCCATAAATTGTACTATTTTTATTATTGCAGAGCTGGTGTAATATGAAGCTCTGATTGCTACTTTGGTGACGAGGTTTCTACTACTGAAATCTACCAACACTGCCTCCAACTATTTAACTAGCATTCACATGTAGGTAGTGGTATGTACATGTCATATTGCTGGAACAAGAATCTTCGAAAGATTATGTCTCATATTTGTACCCATGCAAAAATAAATAAATAAATAATTAAGAATCTATTATGTAAAGTACTGATTACAATTTTTCTATTTTTATTTGCAGGCTTTCATGGATTTGGCTATGGCAAAGAAATGAATTTTATGGCATACCCAAGTACTCAGATAAAAACCCTCTTCCTCAGTTTTGCTTATGTTATCGGAAATTCTCAGTTAGATTTGTATTTCCACGTAGAACACGATTTACAATATTTGAAACAAAAGTAGGATTTTAATGTTAGGAACGGAAGAAACATAGCTTAAAATTATATGATGGGAAGTGTGAAAAATCAGTTTAGAATAGGATGAGAAACATATTGATGAACAATTTTTTTGTTTGTTTGTTTGTCTGTGTGGAATTGCATAGAAAAGGAATCTCAATCTGAATTTTACCAGATTTCATGTCTTAGAAGCTCAAAAGAAAAGCAAAAACACATTTCCCAATGCTTTGCCAAATTATATCTATTATTGTGCTTATGAAGATTATCATATCATACACATTAAATGGGCAACCCAGTGCATGAGGACCACATAGGCAAAAAAACAACACTCACTACAGATGTTAGCTTTGCTTTTGTGCGCTCCATTTATGCCTAAAACATCTATCTCTTGGCATTGAAACTGCTCATCCAGGCTAGCAAGGGTAGCTTTGATGATCAGTTACAATTGGACTCCTCTTCCCGGTCGACACTTTGGGTTGCACCGTGTACACTTGGCCTTGGAGGTTTCGAGCATTATCCCAGATTATCAATTGCTCAACCAGGCAACTCTTTTGCTCAACCTCATTATACATGTTCATAAGTTAAAGGGTAACTTACGCAAATGATCCCAGTAGTTTATCCGCTTTTTCACTTTAGTTCTTGTTGTTTCAATTTGATCAATTGTGTCCCTTAATTTTATGGATTGTGTCATATTAGTCTAATGAATAACAACGGTTAAGTTTGATGGATGAAAAATCAAATGATGTTTCAATTTAGTTATTGTAATTTATAGGATGTGTCAATTTGGTCTTTGTAGTTTATAGGAAAGTCAAAACAGTAAGGACTAAATTGACACATCTTGTAAATTACAGGAACCAAATTGAAATGTCGTTTGATTTTCCGTCCATCAAACTTAACTGCCGTTATTTATTGGACTAATATGACAAAATCCGTAAAATTAAGGAGTAAAATTGATCAAATTAAAATAACAGGAATCAAAATAAAACAAAAGTAAACTACAAGGATTACCGCTGCCCTAAGTTAAAAGTTAGAGTATGAATTTGTTAAACCTTGTCAAAAGAATGTAAAAGACTTTGAAACCATAGCACTATACCAATTGAGGCATGGACTGCTGCTATTGCTATGGGAAATATAAAATCTTCACTCCTATAGTTCAATACCCCACATAATTCAACATAATTTTCCAATTTGATTGAGAAGAGTAACATGTAACTAACTATTTCTATTTCAGGCATGGAATGGGCGACATGATGGGCCTTTATCTTCTTTTTTGTCAACAAAGTGACATGGACTTTCATCTGCTGATCTTTTAGCTATCTTCAATTTTTTGATAAGTAGATGCAAAAGATCAATGATCTAGAATTTATTATTTTTGTTCTACATGATGTTGGGAAAAATGAAACATGCATGTATACATTCTATAAATTCTTAGAATATCCCAAACAATCCATCAGAATTACAGTTGGACTTATTACAAGTTTTTTTTCTCAATAATTTAAATTATTTATTTCATTGGCTCTTATATATAAATTATTGATAAAGAAAAACTCATATTCATAACATAATAATCGTATTATTTTATTATATTTAGCTTTAAACTATTGAAACAAATGAAGAGTAAGCAAGCATATTTTCAAAAATAAATTATTTATCTTTTAAAACAATAATATACTTATAATTATTAGATCAATTTTTTTTAAAAATAATTTATTTACAAGAATAGATCAAAAGAATAATTTGAATTATTCAAAAATAACCCATAAATTCATGTACTGTCATGTGTAGAGGTGATATCAAATCATTATTCACTTCATTTGAATGGAGGGGTTTGATAAGAAAAGAAAAAAATAAATAATTAGAATAGAAAATCCCTTCATATATTTGGATGGTTAAATATGTGAGAAATTATGAGAAAAAGACTCTCACCAAAAGTCGTGAGATTTGATGAGAAAATAAATGGATTTAATGAAGGGAAGAGACTTCTATTTAGTCCAAATCAGACTGGAGAGTTGTCGAGCCCTCGTGGGCCTACATTGAGAATAAAAAACTGTTTAATGTTTAGAACTCGTCCAATACTTCATCCCTGCAAAAATTTATGTTGATTGGATATCGATAGTCACTTTATCAGTTCACATTTGTATCAATGATAAATATAATTTTAAAAATAAATTGTTGATACAAATGTAATTTGATCAAGTGACTATCGATATCCGATCAATATGATTTTTTTACAGGAATGAAGTACTCGACAAACTTTACACATTGTTAAACAGTTCGAATTATTGATGTGGCCTCTGTGGTGGGCCCACAAAGGCCCAACAACACCATTTAGTCGGGTTTCCCAACTAGAAAGAACCTAAATTCTTAATGAAACCCAAGGGTGGTTGGCAACTTGGCAAAGGCCTCGGGATTAAGCCCCTAGGTCCTAGGTTCAAAACCCCATTGGGCTAATCTCCTGGGTAATAGCATAGTTAGTTAGGAGGTTAGTCTCAAGCAGTTTCATTGCACTTGGTGTGAGTTCAATATTCTCTCGCTGTGCGAGTCCTGACTTATGCGGAGCTTGTCTTGAGAGGTAGGTTATAGTTTCCTAACTCAGAACAAACAACATGACACCCTGATGATCTTTGCAAGGGGCGCTGCCTTAAACCTGCGGCGAGTGAAAGGATTTTCTTATTAAAAAAATAAAATAAAAGTTCTTAACAGAACTTTTATAAAATATCAAAATTATCTTATGGTGGAAGAAGTTGAAAAATAGCTTATTAATATGAAAGGTTATTTTGATAAAATGAAACAAATTTTTTTTTCTTCTTATTTACTCCCTTCAAACAAGATGGTTGAAAGATTTTTTTATTTCTACTTTTTCTTATTACTCTTTCCAAACAAGATGGTTGACAAATCATATTTTTTTTTTCTCTTTTATTCATCCAAACACAATTATAAGAAATTTTAATCATTTCTTTTATTTTCTCACCTCATAATACAAACAGATTGTTACGGTTCCATGAATTATGGAACCAAATCAAATAGTGAAAAAATCTTAGAATCAAATCAAACCGAACTAGTAAACTGTTGTTCGGTTTAAAATCACGTCTCTTAAAAATATTGTTACCATTCATGACATAATACAAAATATTATTCAAAACTTAATAATTATTTAGATAATTGTTTACAACTAATTCTACCAACACAGAACAACAAACTTACAAGAGTAAAAAAATTACAATTTATATATGTATACAAATAAGATATTTGAATATTTACAATAAAAAACAAATTAATTTATATATATATATATATATATATATCTAAACCATTTATTTTGTTTCAAACTAAATTCATAGCTTATGTTATATGGACTTTCAAAATAAGACTTTCCTATTTGTTATAACCTAAAAAAATATTAAAAAGTCACTATCCTATTTAAGTGATATCATTTTATTTAAATCGCATCACCTCTCTACCACATCACTTCATACCTAATCCATACCCAACCTATATTTCATAAAAAGTTAAAAAGTATACTTATTTAGATAATCTCAAACTATCCCTAAATCAAATTCTTGTGTCGGACACCCGATACTCGGATATGTATGAGATATGTTTTCGATATTTTTCAATAGACACTTCTCATATATTTGTATTTAACAATATCTTACATATATTATTTGTTGTATAACTACTATAAAATACTTTTTTGACACTATATGTTACATAATAAATTAAAAATACAAAAATATAACTCTTTTTTATCAAATTTACATATTCTTAAATTTAAAATTAAAAAAGTCCAATCTCTAAATATAAACTTGCATTTGACATTCATACCCAAATTCATATAATATAGTTCATGCGTATAAAACTGTAAACCACCCACTTGTGCCTTCATTTTTTCAAAATTTCCTGCTCCATCCCTAGTCACGTGAATTGGAGAGAGAGCCTCCCTCAAATAAAAACATACGTGGCGGTGCGAATAGTAAGCCGAAAGAGATTAATGAAGCTGAAAAAGTACGGCTCCATTTTGTTTAATTTTGAAATGAGATTTGAATTTTAAATTATGTTTTAAAAGATAAATTTTTTAAAAAAATTTTAAAAAGATAAATTTTATTTAATTATAAATTTTGAAATGTTTTTTGAGTTTTGAATTATATTTTTAAATTTTTTTGGGTTTATTTTTTTATTTAAATTTTCCTAACTTTATTTTGTTAAGGTAAATATTTTTCATTGTAAATATTTATTTATTTATTTTAATGTGTATTTATTTACTACATTTGTTTTTAATTTCTTCACAATTTTTGTACTGATTAAGTATAATTTTGATTCGCTAATACATATCTAAAACGTAACAAATTATTTTGCTAATATTTAAAACCAACTTAAAATTTTACATCGATATATCGAATTCAAATTCCGATGGTTATGACTATTTAAATATTTATAAAGTATTGTTGGTAATTCGTTTTCGTTCGTGCCATCCACTTTGACATGGGCCCAACCCCACAAGCACAAAATATTTTAATTATAGTTTTTAAATATTTAAATATTTTATTTTATTTTAATTTTTGACATGGGTAAACCCATAAAGAATATGACCCACCACCTAAGGTCCAGTCCATTATTCAAATACTAAAGCCTAATACTCATGAAACCCAGTGTTACACCAAACACCAATGACATCTAAACACTTAGCAAGCAGAGAACCACCCACATCAGCAGACAAAGATTCTGTAAAGTTATTGCATCACACATCAGCCATTAATGAGTTTTCCCGCAGCATTTATTGCGATAACCCTTCCCCGTCGGGACAGAACGACCTCACCATGAACAAGGTAAGGTAGAGCATAGACTTTCGGCCAAGGTGACAGGTCGGAAGGGACAATGAAATGATTAGCAGAGGATATAAGTAGGCATCGAAGACAAGGAAAAGGCTAAGCTTTTCTGTCACTAATCTATCTCCACAATCCATCTCTTTTTCTAACTTGCTCGTCGGAGGGTTCGCTGGGGGACTCCCCTTTTCCCGTTGAACTCTTGCGCAAGTCTCTCTGAGGGCTCGGTACCTCGGGCACCAGTTTGGGAAGCGTGCATCAATCCGACCCGTTCCATCTGGAACACGTTGTATCATCAGTTGGCGCCGTCTATGGGAATCCCTTTGCTCCGCGCGCCAGTTGTGCTCATTGTCGCCGGAGACCCCTTTCCAATAACCCCTTCCTACCACCCACCAAGGTGGATGGTCACAATTAGATCCATGGCTTCTTACCACAATGTTGCCGACCACCAAGCCGACCCTCCCAATCCAAACAACCCGCCGCAGTACTTCACAAAACTTACCAACAGCATCAACTGCTTAGCAAAGCAAAACCAAGCCCTGATCAATGCTTTGCTTCAAAGAGACCTTCTCGTCTCTCCTCCTCCACCTCAAGATATCCCACCCAACCAAGAACGAGCCCCGAGCCATCCTATCCAACAGCCCTACCCACCCAACTTGGAAGGCTTGCGACCCCCTCCCCCAGATATGAACCCGCCACCTCGGGCCCCACAGCCATCGGTCCAGGCATCCACCCCCGAGGGAGAAGCCAGTAGTGTCCAGCCTCCGCTGCATTCCGGTGGCGACAACGTTCCTTTCTGGGACGCAGAACTCCGAGCCATGAAGCTTCAACTCCAAGGAGTTATGCAGAACATACAGAATAAACCATCTATCACAGCTAACTCACCGTTCGTTGCTTCTATCAGGGATAAAACCTTACCTCCTAAGTTTGTCAGGAACGTGGACTACCTCAGGTGGTTGTCGAATGTGGTCTTGGTCCGAAAAAACAATAATAAATGGCGACTCTGCGTCGATTACTCCGACCTCAATCGAGCTTGCCCCAAAAGATAGTTATCCCCTTCCTCGTATAGATCTGTTTGTTGACGCCACGGCCGGTCATCAAATGCTCAGCTTCATGAATGCCTTCTCTGGGTACAACCAAATTCTGATGCACCCATCTGGCCAGGAACACACCTCCTTCATCACTGATCGGGGAACCTACCATTATCGTGTCATGCCATTTGGGTTGAAAAATACCGGAGCAACTTACCAACGGTTGGTCAACGCCGTCTTTCATCATCAGATAGGTCGGAACATGGAAGTATACGTCGATGACATGCTAGTTAAGAGCAAACTCTCCTCTGATCATCTGGCCGACCTACGATAGACCTTTGGCACCCTACGAAAGTATCAAATGAAACTCAATTCGAAGAAATGCGCCTTCGGCGTAGGATCTAGGAAGTTCTTAGGTTTCATGGTCAGTCAGCGGGGCATTAAGGCTAACCCCAAAAAGATCAAGGCATTGATCGAAATGCAGTCACCTAGAACGGTTAAGGAGGTTCAGAGGCTTACTGGCAGAGTCGCTGCCCTCAACCGTTTCATTTCTCGCGCAACGGACAAGTGCCTCCCCTTCTTCAAAGTTCTTCGGCAGGCTTTCGAGTGGACGACCGAATCCGAAGAGGCTTTCCAACAATTGAAGCAGTGCATGTCCAACCCCCCTTACTCTCCTAGGCGCTCATGGGTGAGCCCCTTTTTCTCTATTTATCCGTATCGAGCACCGCAGTTAGCATGGCCCTTATTAGGGTGGACGGTTCAGTACAGCGCCCAATTTATTACATTAGCCGGGCTCTCAAGGGCGTAGAACAGAACTACCCATTGCTAGAAAAAATGTTATTGGCCTTGGTCACCGCCTCAAGACGACTCTGTCCTTACTTCCAAGCCCACTCCATAGTGATCCTCACTGACTAACCTTTGAAGAAGATAATGCAACAACCAGAGCTGTCCGGTAGACTTATGCAATGGTCAGTCGAGTTCAGCCAATTTGACATCTCCTACCGACCTCGAACGGCAATCAAAGGGCAGGCTATTACCGATTTTATCCTGGAATTCACTAATCCCACCCCAACCACGGCCCCCCGGCCCCCGCAATCCCACACTGAGGCAGAAGACCTCCACTCTTGGACCCTCAACGTCGACGAATCATCCCGTAAAGAAGGCAGTGGGGCTGGTCTCATCCTCACTTCCCCCGAGAGTGGTTATTTCAAGCGTGCTCTCCGTTTCTTGTTCGACACAAGCAATAATGAGGCTGAATATGAGGCATTGATAGCAGGTCTCCGCCTAGCCAGAGACATTGGTGTCAGCCATCTCCAGGTGTTCAGCAATTCCCAGCTCATTGTCGGACAAATTACGGGGGAATTCGGTGCGAATGAAGACACAATGCGGGCTTACAGGGATATTGCACTCCCCCTTGCTCGTCTCTTCAACACTTTCCACATCAATCACATCCCTCGGACGGAAAATTCCAAGGCAGATGAAATGGCTTAATTAGCTTCTGCCGACTAGTCAGACCTCAGCCATGGCGTCCGCCTTGAATACCTAGCCTACCCTGCCATTTCCCCACAACAGCAGCAAGTCCACTTCCTCCAAAATGAACCTATTCCATGGGCGGCAGACATCCTACTATTTTTGACAAATGGGGAATTGCTTGCCGACCGACACCAGGCCGCCAAAGTCAGGGCCCGGTCGTCCAACTATATTCTTATCAGCGGCTTTTTGTACAAACATGACTTTTCACGCCCATACCTGAGATGTCTCAATCCTGCTCAAGCGACTTACATGATGAGGGAAGTCCACGAGGGTGTATCTGATAATCATTCGGGTGCCAAGTCACTAGCCCACAAAATACTTCGCACTGGTTACTTCTGCCCTACTCTCAATCAAGATGCCACTAAATTCGTGCTTAAATGCGATAAGTGCCAACGCTTTGCCAACATCCCCCATGCTCTTCCTATAGAACTGATCACACTTTGCAGTCCTTACCCATTCGCCAAATGAGGGATCGACTTAGTTGGCTCATTGCCCACCGGCCGAGGCCAAACCAAATTCGCAATCATCGCCATTGATTACTTCACTAAATTGGTGGAGGCGGAACCCCTCGCCACAATTACCGAGTGGAACATAACCAGATTCATCTGGCAGTCGATTGTGTACCGATTTGGCATCCCTTAAGCCATCGTCTACGACAACGGCAAACAATTCGATAGTGCCAAGTTTAGGAAATTCTGTGCAGAACTTCAAATCCAACCATGTTTCTCTTCCCCAGGTTATCCCCAAGCCAATGGCCAAGTTGAGGTTACCAACCGTTCTGTTTTGAAGATCATCAAAACTAAGTTGGAAGCTTCTAAGGGACTCTGGATTGAGGAATTACCAAACGTACTCTGGGCCTACCGCACCACCGCCCGAACCCCCACTGGGGAGACCCCTTTTCACTTAACATACGGTGCTGAGACGGTCATCCCAGTGGAAATCAGTCTGCCTACCCCGAGGGTTCTGCACCCGAACCCAGAACTAACCGAAGAACTGCGTCAGGCAGACTTAGACCTGATTGAAGAGCTCCGAGAGACCACTGCTATTAGGCGAGCCTCATATCAACAGAAAATGAGAACACACTACAACCGCAAAGTTCGACCGAGGGAGTTCGCCGTGGGGGACCTTGTTTTGCGCGAAGTAACTCTTGCCACCAAAAATCTGGCTAAGGGCAAGCTGGCAGCCAAGTGGGAGGGACCTTACGTTGTTAAGGCCAGACCTCATCCGGGCACTTACCGACTTCAGGACATGGAAGGTCGAGATCTCCCCCATCCATGAAACGCCGAGCACTTGAAGCGTTATTTTCAATAAAGCCCTATTTTTGTATTGATCAATTGTTGTATGTTCTTTTTGACAATCTACACACTTGGATGTTTTTGTCATTTTCTCACATGGTGTACATTTGTGATCAATGGGCTACGCTTTAAATGACAACAATCTTATATCTCAGTTATCTGCGTGGTATTTCAATAACACCCTACTTGCAGCCTCAACTAGACTGAATTACTTAAAGCCTCGGCCAGACTGAGCACGAAGAGCTCAGCCAGATTGAATTACTTAAAGTCTCAGCCCGACCAAACCCGACGAGCTCAGCCAGACTGAGTAGTGGTCAACCGGAATGAGCACAAAGAGCTCAACCAGATGAAGGGCTTTCCTAACAAGAGATATGGTTATAATTCGACAGCGGCCGATTTTAATGATTTAATGATACAACATGGTGGCCATATTTAGTCAAAATCCAACATATTTTTGCAGTGTCTATATTTTTAATCTCACATTTTCCACATCGTTAAAATTCAGGTTTATAGTCGTCCAAGTCAGTTTTTCATCTTTCATTTTTTAACATTTTCATGTACGCCCATTCTTAATGATTTTTGCCATGGCTCTCTCATAAGTTAGGCTAATCTGCGCACAAGTCCTAATTTCATACCCACTTTTCGTTGAATTATTTCCAAATTTACAACTCAGAAGAAATAAGGGCAATAATGGCACAAAAGACAACTTGTTTTATTCCAAAACTTACGGTTACATACAACTTTCTACAGAAATTACACATAAGTAAAAAAAAAAAAAAACAACAAACAACAAAATTTTTACGTGCATCAATCTTCTTCACTAGAGACCAAGTCTTCCTCCTCAACCCTCTCATCCAGGGGGTCTGGGCAACGTCGTCTTCATCTATTTTCACACTGCTGAAGTCTAAGTCTGGGAACATCTCTTTCGCTTTACGTTTGAAGGTCTTCCAGCCGCTGTCCCAGAACTCAGCCATCTCGTGCTTATAAAAATCCAACCTCTGGAAGTTTTCGATCACTTCTTATTCACTCCTGGTTCCAGCGGCCGCCATCGACGGCCCAACCCCCCCATCACCCTTTCTTTCCAATCTTCTGGCAACTGCGGCATCGATAGCTATCTGAAAGTCAGCAGACTCCTTGAATTGTTCCACTGCCGCCTTGCAGAGGTTGGGATACCCTGCCCTCTCAGCCGCCAGTCTAGTCTGCTCGTCCGCCAACGCTTTCTCCAACACAACGATTTTCTGATCTGCTTCTTCCTTTTCCTTGATCGATTGAGCACGTAGATCTTTATTGCAGACCATAGCCTCATCCCACCTTTTGTTAGCGATGGTGCAAGCTTTCTGGGCCTCCTCAAGCTTTTTCTGCTCGCCACCCAACTGGAACTCGAGCGACACCACCTTGCGGCGTTCTGTCTCCGGCTCTAACTTGGTCGCGAGGAGCTCAGCATTAGCACGGTCTGCTGAATAGCCCTGCACCATCGCCAACACCTCAATCTTCTTGGCATTCTGGGCATACTCCAACCCCCTAACACACGCACTCCGCGCGGCTTTTCTCCAGCCCCCAGTCTCCCTCCTTAAACTTTCAAGCTGGGCCTTTACCTCCTCCAGCTTTGCCTCCAGTGGCTTAACTTCGCCTTTTGCGCGTGCCGTTTTGTTCAGTAAGACCCCTGCTAAGGCCGTCGCCTCCATCTGGGCTGAGCACAGCCCCCTTAGCAGTTCGGCCTCTGTGAAACTTGCCATCAAGCACACGGCCGCGTCCTCCATTACTCTCAAGAGCCGATCTGCAGCAGTCCTAGCTTCACCTCTGGGAAACATGTTAAATTTATATTTTTGCTCAATCTAGTTTTGCCATTTTCTCATATTTTGTTTCTCTCTTCATTGCCTAACATTCTCTAACTACTCGCCACTCTTCCCTCTATCCTTCCCAACTATCACCAACTTTTCCTTTATTTTCTTTCGATTTTTGTGAAATTTTCTTCCATTCTTCCTAACCATCTCAAACCTTATTTTTGTCACTATCATTACAATCCTTAGCCTTTTTTCACTCCTTCCACCCATCTCCAAACTCTTAATCTACCTTAACGTATTTCTTTATTGCCACTATCATAAATACTCAAGTACTCCATGGTCTTCCTCCAAATCACTACACCCAACTTCAGTCCAACCTTTTATTCGTCACCATCACTATAAAACACTTTAGGCGTTTTTTAAAACCATCAATGACCTCAACCCCTTTTAGGAAACCCTAGATATTCGTGATCTCTTACTCTCTCATCACAATCTCTGTCATGGTGGTGGCTCATGGAAAAATGGATCTAAAGTAAAAGAAGAGCTAAACATGGAGTAATTTGATGGAATGTAGATATATGTTAGGAAATAAATAAGAGGAAGGTAGGAGAAAAGTTGGGAGTTGGGTAAGATTGGCACGAGTTGGAGAAAGTGGAGAAAAGAAGAGGAATATAAAAGATATATAGGAAAAAGATGTATAAGAAATAAATTCAAGAGGGTAAAAAATATAATTTTACGAGATTTGGTAATTAATTTAAAAATTTCATTTCAATTCTATCACATTCTTACAATTGTTTATTTATTTATTTTTTTTGCAATTTTCCATATAATTTTTATGATTGGTTCAAATATTTGATAACATTAAATGAGAAAGGTGGCTAATTTTTTATAAAAAATATAAATCTAAATCTAAAAACTATTCCAAATTTAAAATCAATGATTGAAATTTACATTAATTTTTACTCTAGGAATTCGTTATTTTAGCAATTTTTTAATTTTAATTTTTTTTTTATAAAAAAAATGTATAAAAATAACAGATAATACGACAATTTATAGTGGATTTTTAAATTAAAATTATTAGTTGCCAAACAAGACTTAAATGTAAGGGTGATAAACAAACCAAATAACTCGAACTTAACTGGTTAACAGTTCATTCAAATTCGGTTCGTTAAATAAACAAGTCATGTTTAAACATCTTTTAGAGCTTGTTAAGGTTTTTAAACCAAATGTAAACAATTAATTATATAAAATATCAAATTGCTTGAGTTAAGCCCAATAAAAATTCATTTAAGATCAGCTTAAAAGTTTAACGAATCAAACTTAAATAAATTTTAAAATTCATTAAGGCCTAGTTTGGCATCTCTAAAAAAATTCAAAAAGTGAAAAAGTTACTTAAAAAGTTAAAAAATATCACTATTTACAAATTAAAAATATAAAAAAATTAGTTTATTACATATTTTAATACAAAGACGTGACTAGTACTGAGAATTGATGGGAAGGTTGTCAAAAAAAAAAAATAGGTATATATATTTATTAACTTAGAGGGTAATGTTGGGCCAGTGGGGGCCCACCACAGGTCCCATGATGATAATACGAACCATCAATGTGTAGAACTCGTCGAGTACTATATGTCTATAAAAAATTACGTTAATCGTATATGGATAACTGCATGATTAAAACAATTTTGTATAAACAATTGATGATGTTATAGTTAACGGTTGACAAAAAAACTAACACGATCAGATAGCTATCGATATCCGATCAACGTGATTTTTTACGAACATATAGTACTCGACGAGTTCTACATATTCAACGGTTTCGATTAGCAAAACAGGACTCGCGGGGGTCCACACGAGCCGAATAATACCGTCTAATTAAACACGAAAAGAAAACAATTATTTTTCATCTCTACACTGCCTGTATGGACTACTCAACCGCTTCTCCTATATATTTATTTATATACCGTCCAATTAAAACTTAAATAATTAATTGTGCGGTTCGATTGACTCGATTATGATCAGTACGTAAAATGTATATAAATAAAAAATTCATGATATATTTAATAAAAAATTCATGATATATTTCTGGGATCTCTTCCTCCTGGACTTTTCCAAATATGTTTCCTTTACGAGATCAAATACGTATGAAACATATGAAAGATCAAATACATATGAAACATATGAAATATACGGTGGAAAAAGCCGTGTTATTCTGTAGCAATGCTAGGCGCCAAATATGACTAACTTGAAACCTACAAGGATTAGGAAAAACCCATTAGCCGAGACAAGCGTTGCAGTCAATTCCGAAGAATTTTCGTTTTCTAAAGAGAGAGAGAGAGAGAGAGAGAGAGAGAGACATACAGACATAGGACTCCCAATTTTCACAGTTTGGTTCTGAAATCGGTCACTTTTCCGGCGACTTTTTAAGTATTTTCAGGCGTTTAAAGGCCGCACACGGTGGTGCTTTGCGGCGGCAAGATTTCCCCCCTTTTTTCCGGTGGTTTTGCCCCAAATCGTGGTACGTTTTTTTTGTGATTGTGTTTCGAAATATTTTAATTACGCATAGGGTAATTTGAAGTTCTGGGTTGACTGATTGAAAATTTGAAACTTGTTAAACGACAAACTTAATTTCATTATAATTCCGTGTTTTTGCTAGTTGGATTTGGGACTTGTAAACCCATAGCATAGGGTAATTTGAAGATTTGGGTTGATTGAAAATTTGATTCTTGTTAAACAAGAAACATAATTTCATTCCAAGTCTGTGTTTTTGCTAGTTTGATTTGGGACTTGTATTATATCCATCTGATTACACACACTGCCCATACACAAATTTTTCCAATTGATTAGAATAAAATGCAGGAGATTGAGTTGAAGAAATGGGTCTCCGACAAATTGATGTTGCTATTGGGATACTCTATGCCTGAAATTGTTTTGTATGTTCTTGGTTTGTCCGAACAAGCATTGTCCCCGGCTGAATTGGCCCAACATCTAGAGGATGTTGGGTTATCAGCGTCAAGCAAAACACGCTCGTTCGCTGAAGAAATTTTCAAGAAGGTTCCACGTGATAAAGCTTCTTCCGGCTTGAATCTTTATCAGATACAGGAAAGGGAGGCAATGATTCTTGCAAGGAAGCAAAGGACACACACAATTCTCGAGGCCAACGTTGATGACGATGATAGTGTTGGTGATGCTGGCAACAGAAAGTGTTTCAGAAAGAGGAAAATTGAAGAACAAGAAGGTGATGAAAAAGGAAAACAAGTTAAGAGACAGATTGAAGAGAGATTGGGTGACCAAAGAGAGAACAATAATGTCAAGACACTGAGAAGAATTTCGAGGCAAGAGTACTTGAAGAAGAGAGAGCAAAAGAAGCTGGAGGAGATGGGATATGATATACAGGACGAGGAGTACCTGTTTGAGGGTGTAAAGCTGAGTGAAGCAGAGAATCAAGAGATGAGGTACAAGAAACAAGTTTATGAGCTTGCCAAGAAGAGGTCTAGAGAATCTGATAATGATATGGGTGAGTACAGAATGCCAGAAGCTTATGATGGAGAAGGGGGTGTAAATCAGGAGAGAAGATTTGCTATTGCAAAGCAAAATTACAGGGATGCAAGTGCCGGAGATGAGAAGAAGCCATTCGCAGAACAATCAGCTTGGGTAGAGCAGCAGATCAAAAGGGCTACTCTCAATTTAAAAAACCATAAAAACCCAACAAGTGATGAATATGAGTTTGTGTTCGAGGACGATGTTAATCACTTCATCAATGCTACGACTATGGATTGCGATAAATTTGAAGTTGAATCACCTATTGAGCCAAATTTGGTTGATGAGAGAGAAGCTCTGCCAATCTATACGTTTCGAGATCAATTGCTCAAAGCTGTTTGTGATCATCAGGTCCTTGTTATTACAGGAGAGACAGGCTCTGGAAAGACTACTCAGATACCTCAATATCTTCACGAGGCAGGCTACACAAAACGTGGGAAGATTGGATGTACTCAGCCACGTCGAGTTGCTGCTATCAGTGTTGCTGCCAGAGTTGCACAAGAAATGGGTGTCAAACTTGGGCACGAGGTGGGTTACTCTATTCGCTTTGAAAACTACACATCAGAGAAGACCGTTTTGAAATACATGACTGATGGAAGGTTGTTGAGGGAACTTCTTGGTGAACCAGACCTTGCAAGCTACAGTGTGTTGATGATAGATGAAGCTCATGAAAGAACTATATCAACTGATATTTTGTTTGGTTTAGTTAAGGAAATTGTTAGGTTTCGTCCTGATCTCAAATTGCTCATATCAAGTGCCACTCTTGACACAAAAAAGTTCAGTGATTTTTTTGATTCTGCCCCAATTTTCGAAATACCCGGAAGGCAATATCCTGTTGAAATATCCTACACGAAAGCGCCAGAGGCTAACTACTTGGATGCGGCGATTGTCACTGTTCTTCAAATCCATGTGACTCAACCAGATGGTGATATATTGGTCTTCCTCACCGGGCAAGAGGAAATTGAGACAGCTGAGGAAATGCTTAATCAGAGAATGAAGGGTCTGGCATCAAAGATAGCACAACTTGTAATTTTTCAAATCTATGGAAACCTTCCAACTGAGCGCCAGGCAAAAATATTTGAACCTACCCCTAAAGGAGCACGAAAAGTTGTCCTTGCCACAAATATAGCAGAAACCTCTTTGACAATTGATGGGATAAAGTATGTCATTGATCCAGGATTTTGCAAGATGAAGACTTGTAACCCGCGGACTGAGATGGAGTCGTTATTAGTCACTCCCATATCAAAAGCGTCAGCAATGCAAAGGGCTGGTCGAGCTGGGCGAACAGGTCCTGGAAAGTGTTTCCGCTTGTACACAGCATATGACTATCACAATGATATGGAAGACAATACTGCACCGGAGATACAGCGTACCAACCTTGCAAATGTTGTGCTGACTCTTAAGACCCTCGGTATCAGTAACTTGATGAATTTTGAGCTTATGGATCCCCCACCAGTCGAAGCTTTACTGAAAGCTCTGGAATTACTTTATGCGCTGAGTGCTCTGAATAAATCAGGTGAGTTGACAAAAATTGGTAGAAAAATGGCAGAATTTCCTCTTGATCCGAAATTTTCTAGAATGATTGTTGCATCTGACAGGTACAAGTGCTCGGATGAGATCATAACGATTGCTGCCATGCTTTCTGTTGGGTATGATATTTTTTATTGTCCTAAGAACAAAAAACTCCTTGCAGACAGTGCAAAGATGAATTTTCATAGAGGGCATGTCGGAGATCATATTGCACTGTTAAATGTTTATACTTCTTGGAAGGAAACTAACTTTTCGACTCAATGGTGTTATGATAATTTTGTCCAGGTTAGGAGTATGAAACGGGCCAGAGATATAAGAGACCAGTTGGAGGGGCAATTGGAGAGGGTGGAAATTGAACTGACTTCCAACACAAGTGATATAGAAGCTATAAAGAAGGCTATAGCATCTGGTTTTTTCACCCATTCGTCAAGGCTGCTGGAAAATGGATCTTATCAAACCGTCAAACATCCTCAGACAGTTTATATTCACCCTACCTCAGGTTTATCACATGGGCCTCCAAAATGGGTTATTTACAATGAGTTGGTTCTGACGACCAAGGAGTATATGCGGCAAGTTACCGAGATAAAATCTGAATGGCTGCTTGAAATAGCTCCTCATTATTATCAGTTGAAGGATGTTGAAGACAGTGGATCAAAGTGATTGGGACACAAAGAGGGGCATTAATTGAGAGGAGAAGATTGTAAGTACAGTCATGTAAACAAAATTTAAAAATTATGGGTGATAATTTTCCCGAAACATTATGATCTTTATTCATTTTCTCATGTATGTACAATATATTGATTGTTGAAAAAGTAATCCCAATTTACTGATATGGATTTGTAGATTTGGTAGCTCGTGATGCAAGTTCTGAGATGTTGTAAGGTGTGACATTGGCTCTTTGAATTTCCAAAACGAAGAGAGATTATGCAAAGGTATATACATTGCTATAGCCAAAACAAGGAATATTAATATCTCTCCAGTCTAAACAAATCTTCTGCTGAAGGGTATTATTCCCTTCTGCAATATGTGATTTTTTTAATGGGAATCCAATTTTCTTCTTTTTACATTGTCTATTTAGCAATTTATTCTAGTTCAATTAGTGAAGTTGGTTGATCCAATTTTATAAATTGATTTTGCAGCTTTAGTGTTGCTGTTGCTCCACTAGGTTGCTACTGTCCATTGAATTCTAAGTCTATCTCCAATTTGCAACAGATAAGCTCATTTTACTCTCTCTCTCTCTCTCTCTGTTTAGTTTATTTCTGATGTAAAAATTTTGTCAATATCTTATACTATTATCTAATGACTAGTCTGACATTGTAGCAATTGTGTTGTTTTTGGTGAGTGATATCAACCCACAACTTAAAGTTGCAAAAATCAACAAATCCAAGCAGTTGTCTTCTTCATATGCTTAAATATAGAGACAGATTTTGGTAAAACATACATGAAATTGATGTTTCCAGAAATGGAAGTTTATAGGGGTCAGTTAATACATGCTGTGTTAGTGGGGATGGAAACAATCAGATGTATTCTTTGACCATGGCTGTTCCTTGAGACTTATAAATGAAATTGGGATGGGGTTCACTTTCTTATATGATAGACAGAAGGTAAAGTTTAAAATGTCAAAAGTGCATAGTTTTATATATCGTACTGTTAATTACTTGGAATTCGTTACTGTATACTTACTATGCAATCTGATTTCATATAGGACTGGTTGAGACGTTCGATCTTTTGATGCTAGGTGTCGAACATACGTTTTGTGTTAGGCATTTATATTATATGCCAATTTCAATATCAGATTCTAGGTTATGGAATTAAAAGGCTTAATTTAGCATGTATTTAAGCAAAACATAGATAAAATTAAGGAAATTAACGCTGATGCACATTATTGGCTCATGCATATCCCACCTGAATGATTGACCAAGTCTAAGTTCTCATGTAGATCCAAATGTGATTTATGCTTGTCATTATGTACATAGGTAAGGCTTTGGACATGCCTTTGTTGATTATTTTTGAAATGATAAAGAGACAAATTGGAATGGATGGCAGGGGATATGGTCCTAGTTGTGGTTATGGCAATTGGAATGGATTGGGCATGTGCACACCTACTTGTTGGATAGCTTGATGTTGATGTACATTGTTGGGCCTAACCTTTTAGAACAATTGGTGACTTAACAAGGTGTCAAAGCCCAGTTTTTTTTTTTTTTTTTTAAAAACTGAAAGTGTCAGAGCTCAGGTTGAGAAGAGGTATTGCATTCAACTTTCCTGTTGGCATTTGGTTTTCAGTCCGTGTTTAGTTTCTTCTTCTTTGTTTTGTTGTTTGTTTATTTGTAGAAAAGAGATTCAATGGGTGAATGGTGTATCCATTGATGTCCCCATCTGTGATCAAGTCCAAAATTTCAGTTTAACAATTATTGTGCCATTATTTTCTTATTTTTCATAGTGCTTACTTAAATGTAAATATTAATTGTTTGGCATGTAATAAACACTATAAAGAATTCATTGAGATAGTATTAAGTTTTGTTTTTTGGATGTATGTGGTTAAGAATTGTTCTACCAAATCACTTTGATTTTGATATTTACATTTGCTTTTACTTTCATTCCTCATAATTAATTTTTTT